GGATTTAAGTTCTGCTTTTGTCCACTTTCCACTACCCCTGAGAAGGCTTATGTTACCTTTTGCACCAGCCACTTAAAACATTTAGATGAAAACAAGTTTATTCTAGCATTGAAAACAGTAAAGTTTTTAAGAAATTGAAGAAGTAGTTTGTGTGCAATTTCTAAAACCCTTAGAGTTAGAAATCTATTTTTATGGTATTGACATTTCATTAAAAATGGATTGTTATGTGATGAGATTTCTGTAATTTCTACAGAAGTAGCTAGTTATGTGGCATTTTTCCCTTGGTTTCAGTGCCCCAACAATTATAAGATATAATACTTTAATATATATTGATAATGAAGAATGTAATCTTTCTTCTCCACATTATAACATATTCTGCCTTTTGCCATGAGGAAAATTACGCATTACATTGGAAATTTTAACATTTTCACATTTCTCCTTTAATATTTTAAGGCATGAAAAGACATTGTTACAGCTTAGATCTGGAAAGTCTCCCAAGAACTCATATGTTGAAGTCTTCATCCCAATGCAGAAATGTCCAGAAGTGGGGCTTTGAGGAAATAAATTGATCATGAGGGCTTTAACCTCATTAGTGGATTAATCCATTAAGTAGATTAATAATTTGAATGAACTATTGGAGGTCATGGAAACTTTAGGCAGATGGGGCACAATTGGAGGAGGCCAGTCCCAGGGGAACATGCCCTTAGGAACTATATCTTGTCCTTGGCCCTGTCTCTCTCACCCTCTCCCCTCTCTGCTTCCTGGCTGCCATGAGCGAGCAGCTTTCCTCAGACATACCCTTCTGCTTGGATGTTCTGCCTCACCTCAGGCCCAAAGGGAGACTACCAACTATAGACTGAAACCATGAGCCAAAATAAGCTTTTCCTCCTCTAAGTTGTTCTTGTCAGGTATTTTGATCATGGTGATGAAGAGCTGACACAGACATCATGGTGCTCTTCTGTTTTTACATGCAGGTTCAACTTACTTGAAACTGAATACTTGTTTACTAGGAGGTTTTATGTTAGTAGAATGTTCATAAGTGCTACCTTAATATATAATAGAAATGGCTAAGGAAAGGATTTACATGGTTAGTACTCTCAGCAAAATAAAAATTCTTGTATTCAAAATATTAGCAGCCTCTATAAAGGGGCTCTACTGTTTTAATTTGGATTTCTATAACCTGGATTTCTTAAAGTAAGCCTAGACAGCTTATTTGATTCAAACAAGAGTTCATGCTTGAAACTAAATGAAGGTTTCATGTATATTTGGGTTTTCAGGGGGAAAGACAGGTCATGCTATCACTAAKATCCTAAAGGGAGATCCTTAACCTCATCAAAAAAAAATAAGTCTAAAGAATTTGGGAGTGATGGTTCACTACTGATAAAACTAAGGCCCTGTACCTTTTTCCCTCCCTGGTGCACCCATTCTGCATTGGATCCTGGCCAGCTACGCTGCACATTAGGACAGAGTCAGAATGATTCTTCCCTAGAATCTTCTGAAAGACCACGGCCCTCTTGCACTTCTACCCTCTAGAACTAAGAGAATACATTTCTGTTGTTTTAAGCCTCCCAGTGTGAGGTACTTTGTTCCAGAGCCTTAGGAAACTAATGCAGCTGCTAATAATATAAGCCTGAAAAAGTAAATAAATCAGGTTGCTTTGTTTTTGTTTGTCTGTTTGCCCCTCAAGTAATTAAGAAGCCCAGAGATTGGCAGTCCATGCAGGTATGGCAGCTCCATGAGTTACCCTAGGATCCTCCTCAAACTGTGATCTTCAACCAAATGCTTGGAAGGCAACTTTTGTAGCTCCTACAAGCATTTCTGGCAGGCAAACTGCAGGGGAAGTAAAAGTCCAAAAGGCCTGAGCTGAGTCAGTCAGTTGCCAGGAGCAGCTTTCCCAGAAACTCCACCCAGGAACTTCTCTACATTTCATTGGCCAGAGTTGTCTCACATGACCAACCTCAGCTGAAGGACAGGTGCCCAGTGCTGCCCTTTAAAATCAGTTGTACTGGTGCAAATGGAGTGGAGGGTGGAGTTGGGCCAGCCTTCTGACAACTCTACCACCTCCTCAGGCCTCCAGGCTCCCTGGCTGCTTGTGCTCTTGCCAAGASAGCTTTACAACAAGGATCACTCAGACCTGCCATGAAAGACAAAAAGATTTCTATCATTTTATCTTCCCAACCTACCCCTATAAGTGTCACTATTGCCAATCTTGAGTATATGATTTGTGGGAGGTTCACAGCAAAACAGAGCATTCAAGAGAGGCTGGCTAGGACCTTCTGATTCATAGTCCCAGGCAATATGACCAGTATGGTCAGGCAATGTAACCAATAAGATTTTAGAAGGTCTCACGTAGATACTTCTATAATGAGATTGTAAATCTGTGTAAACTCAGGTGTACAAAATCTTGCCATAAAGTTCCATTCTCACCAATGGCAGTCCAAGGGCTTAAACTTGCCAGTTGAAGACAATTCAGTCTTTTACAAGTTAGGCGTTTCATCTAAGCCAGTGCCCACTGTTAATTTTTTCTTCTCCCTGCCACGATAGTGCCAGGGTTCTGGGCTCACATGTTTCCTTGGTGTTTAAGGAATGGCCTCTGAATGCCTAGAAGGTCTTTGCTGGCCTCTAAGGAGAGCTCTGTCCCTGCATATTTTGGGGCTCTATTAAAGCAAAAGTAGCCTTTTCARTCTTCTAAAAGGCCTGCAGAACTGTTCTTGTCAATTTTTTGCAGTTGGTTGCTGTTAATATCTTGTGGATTGTTTTGTTTTTTATTGAGAGAACAATTTGTTACAGGCTTTTAAGAAAACCAAAAACATTTGCTCTCTAATTATATCTATTATTTCATTCAACTTGCTTTCTTGTAGAGCAAGACTTTCTATTAGCCAAGAACTACAGTCAAGTTTTCCCAATAAATAAAAGCTGCTTTTCTCTGGAGTATGTAAGAGGACTTGTCAGTATGTTATAGATTCATTCTTACTGAAGATTCTAGTAAATTGTCAGGCTGGAAGCATGTTGATGGAATCAGTTTGCTTTGCCCCTTACTGGGAATATTTTTTGGAAATATTTAGAATACCAGTGGGTTTTTTTTTAATGTTTCTATTAGTGCATTACAATTATACGTAATAGTGGGATTCATTGTGACATATTCATATATGCACAAGATTTGTTCCAGTTCATTCTCTGGTACTTTCCTTTTCCCTTTACTTCTCCTTTCCCCTGCTCCTCCCTTCTTCTGTTCTTCCAGTCGTTCTTCTATTTATTTATATGTATTTTTTCCTTGGCTCATTGTAAAACTGGTACATTGTGGTACATTCATGCATGCACATAGCATAATTTAGWYTACTTTATGCCCTAGTTCCTCCCCTTTCCCTCTTTTCTCCCCTTCCTCGATCCCCTATCTCTACAGCTCGCTCGCTCTCCTGTTTTCATGAGGTTATCCCCACCAGTGTTTTTTAATTTTTTTTTCTCTCTGGCTCCTAAATATGAGGAAAAACATTCAACCCTTGAATCTGGCTTACTTCACTTAGAAGACTGTTCTAATAATCTTATAAGAATTTATAATAATTTTCAAATAGTGTCTTGAAATGTATGTTCCAAGAGTGTTCATTCTCTCATCCATTCAGTGAATTCTTATTGTGTACCTGTAATGCCTCAGGCATCATTTTGTGCTTGCCCTGAGCAAGCATGTCTTGGAAGTTCTGTCCTCTTGGGGGAGAAGGAAAACAAATAAGGCAGCACCTACAGGCAATGATGCCAGAGAGGACTAAATAGGTGGTGTGGCAGAACTAGACTGGGACTTGGGTCAACTTTGGTTTGCTCCGAGGATGCAGTGCCAAAGCAGAAAGTTGAACAATAAGAGGGGGCTAGTCTGCACAGACTTGGAGGCAGAGTCTTCAGTACAAGTGTGCTGGCTCTGCCTCTGGGCACTGAGCAAGCAAGGGTAATATATTAGCTATGGTGGCTGTAGGGATAGGCTGGAACCTAGGAGTTTCAAGTAGAGAATGGGACAGCATTGTTGAATAAGAGTATATCATGTAAGACTTTGTAACTGGGGCTGTTTTTTAAGGCCACAGGAAATACAAAAGCAGTATGAATGTGAATCTTAGTGTAGCGATTTTCAAATTGGTGTCCTTATTGGTCTCTTTATTACACTGTTTTAATTGTGCCTTCCAGCCCCCACCACATTCTCCTGTGCATTCCCAGAAGGAGGGGGCTTTCACTCAACCTACTGAGCTCCCCTAAGAATCCCACCTCATTAAGTCACAGTCTCTCAAAGGGCTGTGTGCATCCTTCAGGGGTGTGGAGCACCAGGGCCACTGCATGTGTGGGTAACTGGGTGTGATGCTGATTCTGAGGATCAGAAGCTGGCTGGATGTGTCCCTCAGGTCAGGTCTGGGAAAAAGTCTCTTCATGTGGCTCTGAACCTCCTAGAGGATGAAGAAACAGCTCCTGTGAAGATGCTGGCTGAAGGCGTGCTGACTTTGTAAGCATCGCCACCTAAGCACAGCCCCTAGTGCCATGAGTTTGTCCTCTTATTTTTGAAATGAAATGGCAACGAGGTTAATAAATCCTTAGAGACAATGTATTAATTTTAGTCACCTGGGGATAACTCCTCTTTAGTGAGAAAGGTAATACCAAGGAACTCCAGCAGCCTAGGAAACTAAAGCTAAAATGTTTCCTCTTAGAGACTGGATGAATGCTTCAGGCCGCTGGCCATGTAGTACATYAAGAAATGCCCTGGACTTTTAGGAAGTAAAGATAACAGCTGCCATTATCAGAGCACATTGATGGAACACTGGAGGGAAGGCTCCATACCAGGCTGTGCATGCAGGCCTAGTGCTGTCCTCTCTGCTCCCCACCTACAGTATGCAGAGCATCCCTGGTGGGAACAATTGCTCTGAAAGTTGGCAGAAAAACTCCCAGGCTTGTCTAAAGTTACAAGGTAGCAATATGTAAATTATACTCAAAGCATTAGTCATAAAATGTCATTCTTCTATTTTCAGTAAATATTCAAGATGTGATATTACAAGAAAATTTGGAAAAAGAAGATCAAATTCTGGTTTCCCTGGCAGGATTAAAACAGGTATTTGCAGTACTCTGATACTATTTGTGTCACACAGGCCACCCATTTGGTGCCTGCTCTGGGGAGAGCACCTTAGAATATGGAATGCCATGATATTAGAGCCAATATCTCCCTACCCCCAATATCCACCCCTTACTCCTATTAGTGATTATGTCTGACAAGCTGGCAGCTCAGAGGTGGTTCACTGGAGCTAGGTGTGCAGGCAAATGGTGCTTCCTGCTTAGGATGTGACATACATATCTGACCCTGTGAGAATCTGACCATTAACACCACAAAATTTTCCTTGGTCATTGCTAAGTTTAAAGGGTTGATACAGTTGAWTTTTTCCCCTATTTCTTTTAGTAAAACATTAACATTCATACTATAGTAGTCACCCCTTAACCTCCAGGGCAATACTGTGATCCCAGGGGATGTCTGAAACTATAGATGTGCTGCATGTAAGGTTCAGCACTATGTTTTCCTAAATTCAGAATACCTAGAATGAGATTTAATTTATAAAATAGGATAATTTATACTATAATCCCAGTAATTTGCAAGTGTTCTCTCAAAATATTTTRTTTGCCCTTCTTGTGAGAAGAGACAGCACCTATGTGAATGAGTAGGCATGCTGGATACTGCTACRTAAGGGTGACTTGAACACAGGTGCTCTAATACTGCGACAGCTGATGTGATAGGACCGTGCATGATTTTGCTGTACAGATGACTTACATTCTAGGTTGTTTGAAGGGGCAGCAAAAGACTTCACCACACTGCTCAGAACAGTCAACAATGTTTATTTTTCTAGAATTTTCCCTTTAATATTTTCTGACTCCTGTTGACCACAGGTAACTGAAGTCACAGATGAGGGGGCACTGCTGTATAAAAAGGTCAATGACAAGTCTAAACAYAGGAGATGTAACCAGCACTCTAAATACAGACTCATTCATCTTTTTTATTTTATTCTTTGAAAATAGATCAAAGACATTCTAAAAGGTTCCCTGCGTTTCAACCAGAGCCAACTGGAAGCTGAAGAAAATGAGCAGATTACCATCGCAGATGACCACTACTGCTCCAGTGGCCAGGGCCAGAACCAACAAGTTCCTGGATCCACCAAGCAGGTACAATGCTGTTATGTGAATGGGCTGACATTGAGTAGAAATTTTTCAACGTTATGAATAAGAAAAACCCTACCAAAGTGTTTCAGATTACCACATGTGAAGTTTAAATAAGGCACCACACGTAGCCTGAGCCAGGGATGYTGTGTACTGTTGTGCAGGTTGTACACTCCAGAGGTGGTGCCATTAACAACGGTAATGATGAACTAGAGTTCTGCAGTGCTCAACCTGAAAAAACCCACATGTGGCAGCAAGAGCTGCTCTTATTCTGTGAGAATAGAAGACAGCTATCTTAATTGCCTCCATTCTGTTAGCACAGGAAGTACTATCCCTGCTTTCCTAACGCTTTCACTTGGCTAGAACTTGTTCTGCCAAAATTACTTCATCTGTCTTCATGGGGAAGAACTTCATTAAGACAAGAGTCAGCAAACTTTTTTTTGGAAAGGGCCAGACAGTAAAACATTAGGATTGGCCTACCACATATTCTAACAACCCTTTAAAAATGCATTCTGTGGATGAGGCCTGGAAGCCAGACGTGACMATAGTTTGCTGCTCTTGGGTCTCAGTATTATGTAGATTTGTTCTAACATAGAATCCAGTTAGAGAGGATCTTAGCACTTGCATGCTTTATCCCGCCTCTTCCTCCTTGCAATGAGAAGGCCCCCAGCTCACCAGGTATTGTTTTCAGATTCCCTGCCCGCATCAGTAAGCTCAGTAAGCTCACTGTACTTTATTTCCCTCCTATACTTGAAATAACAGTTTAGATATCTCATCCTGAATGTAAGCAAAAGACTTATCTGAAACTGGCATCCAGAAGCTTAGGAGATATGCCTTAAGACAGAACTCTGCATAACCTTGTAAAAGCTATTTGTCATGGAGCATTTCTAACTACTTAGTGCAGGTTTCAATTTGATTAGTTCCTTCAAAGTCTCCTTCCCTGCACAGCTCTTTTACTTTTCAAATAGAGCACAGACCCACCATTCATAATAGGAAATTTGGGGATTTTTGAGACAAGGTCTCAATGAACTGGCTATGATTATGGGAATGTACCACCATGCCAAACTTAACATATTATTTTTAGGTGAATGTGTAAAAATACTATAGACCCTCACCTCTCCCCCCCCCCAAAAAAAAAACCTTTACAAACACCAATGAATTTACTAAATTTAAAATGTCTTTATTATATTAAACCAGGAACGGTCATTCCTGGTTCTGGTATTTATAAAGACCTGTAATGGACACAATGAGTTCCCCCGTTGGTAAATGCAGAGCCCAAAAGCATAAACAGGAGATAAGGAGAGTATCAGGGGTGACTCCCACAACAGAGGCTCTCCTAACAAAGGAARCAAGGGAATTTTATTGTGGAGATTATGCCTATTCATACCAGAGAGACTTGTAGAGGCGGGCATATTCCTGTGCATGTGCAATTAGAGATCATACTTCTTCATAGAGTCCATGTTTAAATGGCAGGCAGGAACCCCTCCAGGGATGAGAATTTAGCATTATAAGGAACAAAGTTTACTTTGGCTGGTTTAAGCCAATTCCTTGTGGACTCAGTGGAAAGCCTTGTTGGGAGAGACACTCTGAAGGSTATTAGGAGCTGTCATTTTTGGACTCTCCTGCAAACACAGGTGCTGGACTTTAAAATTTCTGTGTAACAGCTAACAAAACTTCCCCACCCATATCTTTTACTCCTTGTTCATGAAGAGTTTGGAGAGGGAAATCATTTTGTTTAACACCTTCCTCCTGAGTTAGATGAGTGAACTTCACTTGATGTCAAAGGAAGGAACAAAATCAGTAAAACCATAGCTGAAGTATCCTGTGCAATTGTTTTACTGCAGCATTTTGAAGCATATCTGACATAAATAAGATCAGTAAAATGGACATTCCTAATTTGATTAGCCCAGAAAATACAGACTTAACACCCTGCAGGATCCAGGAAAGCAATTCTGAGAACCAGTCATTTATTCCTTGTGCTTCTGGGGATATTTGTTGAAGCCAGGATGCCTGTTTCACAGTGTTCTCAAGGTACGTTTCAAGAAAGTACCCATGCTCGTACAAACTCCTTTCTCAGATACAGTTCAAAGCTAAGGTAGTGCCTGGTAACCCGATTACTAAAGATTCTCTTCCTTTTTGCTATGTGGAGATGGCCCAGACATGATTAACACCCTGGAAAGAATATCTAATAAGTTTATGGGCTCCTACCTCCACCAGGGCAAGAAGATTCTACTGAATGTATACCAGAATCCATCTTCCTGGTTGTGTTAGTTTTTAGTACCTGAGGAGAGGAAAGATTTGTTTTGGTTCGTGATTTCAATCCAAGGTAGAGAAAAATTGCTCCCTTCAGCCATGTATATGCTCACTGGGGCTCCTTCAGATCCCCCACAAACAAGCAGGTATCCTGTCAGCATATGGGATTCCCAATCAATTGTTTAAACTGAGCTCTGAGTCCCAGGGCAAGGTSTCCAGAATTGGCTTCAACCAGGGTTATGTAACTGGTGGCCTTTGGTCAGTGTTCTGTTTGTTGGGAGCCAAGGTAAGAGTCTGGAGTTATTGAACAAACCTCTAGAGATTTATGTTAGGAGGTTGTGGACTCTGAGTGTTCCAGATATTGAGTCTCAGGTAGTCCATACAAAGGGAAAGGTTTCTGTTACTTCCTTGGCAGGCTCAATTCCAGGTATTCCCAGAAATCCAGAGCCTCATATTGTTGGCTTTCCCTTACAGAGAATCTAACTGAGCTGTTATTGGGGAATATATTAAATAATTCAGTGACTACAGCAGTATTGATGGGCTCAGGACAATTTATAGCCTCAGGGTATATGGCAGAACTCAAAACCAAGGGAGGATATGTGGAGTTTCGGGTGGTTACCCTTACTTGGTGCATTACTTTACTGTGTACTATGATGAAAGACCCATTAAAGTTAAGAACCATGGAAAAGTTGGTCACAGTTAAAACAGAGGAGTCAGGGTGGTCAAAAGGGTTTTGGGTAACATATCCAAGAGTCCATTAAATTCCTGCCTTATCCAGGGTTGGGGAGATTGTTTTTCTGCCCTTGTGTTCACATGGAAAGAACTATACACTGAAATCATAACAGTTAGTTTGCTGGGGTTCGGCAAAATGTAGCCAAGAACAGACAATTATGTCAATAATAACATGAAGGAAATCATGTATAGAGTGTCTGCCTAACTATTTTAGAAGACAAACTCTCCAACAAGTAGAAAGATCATGTGTTGTTAGGCTTTACTTATTTGTTTGATCTTGAGGGACATTTCCAGGCTCATCCACAGTCTTCCAGTTCCAGGATGCTCTTTAGTCTTGTGTGATGAATCCAGGGAATTACACCTTACAATTAAAGAGAAGAGTGAGTAGTGAATAAAATTAACACCCAGTAGAAGTTGTGTTCACTGGGTCTTCGGGGAATCCTGACTTATATCCAACCCCCTAATTCATAGGGATGGAAGTATATTTTGGTAAGAGGAAGATTGAGGTTTATCTATCTATGAAAGGTAGCCATCACCTGCCCCAAGTTCATTGTATCTTATTGCCAATTCTGGTTCCACATCAGAACCACTGGCTCCTGGAAAGGATTTCCATTCCACATCTCAAAGAGGCTGAGCTTCCCTTTGGGAATAGCTTCAGTGTAGGTCAAAGAAACAGCTTCCAGGAACTTTACTCGTTTTGGCGTTTTGGGGGGTTTTTTGTTAGTGGTGTTTTGGTACCAGGGATTGAACTCAGGGACACTCAACCACTGAGCCACATTCCTAGCCGYGTTTTGTATTTCATTTAGAGACAGGGTCTCATTGAGTTGCTTAACACCTCATTGTTGCTGAGGCTGACTTTGAACTCACAATCCTCCTGCCTCTGCCTCCCAAGCCACTGGGATTACAGGTGTACACCTGGCTTTTACTCAGTTTTCTTGCGATTGGTCCTTTCCATGCTATCTCCATTGTATTCCAAGCATCTGGGAAACACCAGCACTATCTTTGAAGGAAATCTATCCAGCTGTGACAGTGGGCCTATTTTTGCTTCAAGGTCATTTTCTAAATTTTGCTTTTTCTGTTACASAGGGGAAGGCTTCCATCTAAAATACACCTCGGACCTCCCAGGGTGGCTGGCATTGCAGGTCCTCTCCAGGCAGCATCCCTGGCTTGTACCATCTTAGCCAATGAGAATACAGGCAGCCTTGTTCTCATTTAAGTTTGGGGTCCTTGTTACTCCAGGWAGCCAGTCGTATAATCACCTACACCACCTTTATTAGCGACCTTGCTTGCCTGTCATCCACCCTCCTAAGCAGGAGACATTTTGAAGCTTGTTTTGTTTCCTCTGTATAAGGGGAGCTCTGTCTGGCAGTACTGTTGTTTTGCTTTCCCATGAGGGGATCCAGAGAGGTCAAACAACTCCTGGGTCCCAGAATCCAGCAGGATACAAAAGAAAATGTCTTTTAAATCTAGAACGATGTCCTTGAACATTAGCTAATAAGGTARAGGGACTGGGAACGACAAGGGTGCATGTCTGCACAGCTTCACTAATTACCAGTCAGTCCTGCATAACCTGTGCTCTCCTTTCCTTGGTTTTTAACCAGCAGGATGGGAGAAATAGAGGGCAACCTGTGCGGGCTCTCTTTAAACCCTGTTTAACAAGAAGACTATCACCTGGTGCAGCCCCTTAACCTTGCCTCCACAACTGAGAGCCATGAAAAAAATCCTGCCTGAGTATTCAGCACAGGCTTGATTCTAGCCATGGCCAGAGGGGATTGTTTTACTCAGGCCAGCTGTTGGTTTGTTTAAGATAAACTTTACTGGTTTGGCTGATAGTTCTTCCCACTCATCCTTGCAGACCTAGGTTTGATTCGAGTCAGGACATTTTCAGGGACAGTTTTGGGTATTATTGGTGTTTTACAAAGCAGCGCTGTAAGCTCAATGCTAGGACTCTTGGGGACCTGTACTTCCATCCTATCTTGCTGAAGATGAGTTGTTGGCCCCAGTTTGGCTAACCAACCTCT